ATTGCCTAGAATGAGTCTGGTATGTGTGTGAATGATTGGTGTGGAGAGGCCGATGACACATACTGGTCATTACCTCGCTTCTGTCAGTGTGCCCTAGGGCAGCTGTGGCTAGAGTAGTAAGTTATCACCACCATGTATGGAGTGAATGAATAAATCCATGTGAAGGTTCAAAAAGTGCTGAAAGCCATGCATTATTATTATGATGTAATTTATCAATTCAAAGTAATGTGCAATGTTGAACCTTTCAACATTTCGCCACATTTCAGGCTTCAAACATACAGATATAAAAATATTTTTTTGTCAAGAATCAACAACAAGTGGGACACAATCGTGAAGTGGAACGAAATGTATTAGATAATTTAAACTTTTTTAACAAATAAAAAACTGAAAAGTGGGTCGTGCAATATTATTCGGCCCCCTTGCGCTAATACTTTGTAGCGTCACCTTTTGCTGCAATTACAGCTGCAAGTCGCTTGGGGTATGTCTATCAATTTTGCACATCGAGAGACTGGAATTATTTCCCATTCTTCCTTGCAAAACAGCTCGAGCTCAGTGAGGTTGGATGGAGAGTGTTTGTGAACAGCAGTCTTCAGCTCTTTCCACTGATTCTCGATTGGATTCAGGTCTGGACTTTGACTTGGCCATTCTAACACCTGGATACGTCTATTTGTGAACCATTCCATTGTAGATTTGGCTTTATGTTTTGGATCATTCTCCTGTTGGAAGATAAATCTCCGTCCCAGTCTCAGGTCTTTTGCAGACTCCAACAGGTTTTCTTCCAGAATGGTCCTGTATTTGGCTCCATCCATCTTCCCATCAATTTTAGCCATCTTCCCTGTCCCTGCTGAAAAAAAGCAGGCCCAAACCATGATGCTGCCACCACCATGTTTGACAGTGGGGATGGTGTGTTCAGGGAGATGAGCTGTGTTGCTTTTACGCCAAACATATCGTTTTGCATTGTGGCCAAAAAGTTTGATTTTGGTTTCATCTGACCAGAGCACCTTCTTCCACATGTTTGGTGTATCTCCCAGGTGGCTTGTGGCAAACTTTAAACAAGGCCAGATTTGTGCAGTGCACGACTGATTGTTGTCCTATGGACAGACTCTCCCACCTCAGCTGTAGTTATCTGCAGTTCATCCAGAGTGATCATGGGCTTCTTGGCTGCATCTCTGATCAGTCTTCTCCTTGTTTGAGATGAAAGTTTGGAGTGACGGCCGGGTTTTGGTAGATTTGCAGTGGTCTGATACTCCCATTTCAATATAATTGCTTGCACAGTGCTCCTTGAGATGTTTAAAGCTTGGGAAATCTTTTTGTATCCAAATCCGGCTTTAAACTTCTCCACAACAGTATCTCGGATCTGCCTGGTGTGTTCCTTTGTCTGCATGGTTCTCTCTGCGCTTTAAACAGAACCCTGAGACTATCAAAGAGCAGGTGCATTTATACGGAGACTTGATTACACACGGGTGCATTCTATTTATCATCATCAGTCATTTAGGACAACATTGGATCATTCAAAGATCCTCACTGAACTTCTGGAGTGAGTTTGCTGCACTGAAAGTAAAGGGGCCGAATAATATTGCACGCCCCACTTTTCAGTTTTTCATTTGTTAAAAAAGTTTAAATTATCCAATAAATTTTGTTCCACTTCACGATTGTGTCCCACTTGTTGTTGATTCATGACAAAAAATTAAAATTTTGCTCTACCAGCTGAGCTACTGCTCAGCTGGTAGAGCGTTGGCCTTTGAGCCAGAAGGTCGTGGGTTCAAGCCCCGCTCAAGACTTTCACCATCGACTCCCACTGACTACTGTCGTTGTGTCCTTGGCAAGACACTTAACTTCTGGGAACACCAGCCACAGTGGGGCGGCTGCGGCTGTAAAGTGCCAAACTGCCGTTGTGTCCTTAGGCAAGACACTTCACCCCCATTGCCTAGAATGAGTCTGGTTTGTGTATGAATGGTTGGTGGTGGTCGGAGGGACTGATGGCACATACTGGTTGCCTCGCTTCTGTCAGTGTGCCCCAGGGCAGCTGTGGCTACAGTAGTAGTTTATCACTACCGTGTTTGGTGTGAATGAATAATGACACATGTGAAGCGTCTTTGAGTGTCCAAAAAGCGCTATATAAAACCGATGCATTATTATTATTACTAAAGACACTTTGACAAGTCTGTATTACTTCATTAAAATGTTTCATCGTTGCTGTTTTCACATCTTCATCTTTCCACATTGCTGTCCGCCCTCTTTTACAGTAATCAAAACAATACGTTAAATAAACAGAACTATTTATTAGCCAACAGCAGATTCAAAAATCAAACAATTAGAAATACAATACAAGTCATTGGTTTGTTGTATTACTGCTTTACCCATGTCCATATGTCCCGGGTCAACTCATCTCTTATACCTCAGGGGGGAAGAACCCAATGCCACTGATTTTGTTCTGGTTCACAGAAAGCCATTCATCCTCAATGAGCTGCATCAAAGCCTTTCTGCAGCCAAACTGTCAGGGGATTATTGACCCGTCATACAGGCTGCACATATAACACTGAGAAATATAAAGATCGGCTCCAGTCCGATATGTCAGTCTATGTGAGAGATTCTTTCATATGAACACGAAATCAACATGAGAGGAGCATGCTGCACCTGACCACAAACACAACTATCACTGCAACTCTGTTCTGAACAGAATAAGATAGAAACAATACAGAATAAGATAGAAACAACATATGACTCTATATGACTACTAAAGAGCATTAGTGTTAAAGTGCAATTGTGTTTTTCTCCCATTTCAGTACTACTGAGAACATGTATACCTCTGCATTTTTCATTAGTTTAAAAAATCAAACACCATGTTGCTGAAAAGTTCTATTAATAACTCATATGTAGCATAAAAATGGATTCTTAAAATTGTAAAAGTTACTTTTGGTGAATTTTATATTTGCCCTGACCTCACTCAAACCGGCCATAAAATACTGCTCTTTCATAAAAATGTATCATTATGTATAATGTTGTACAGGGCTCGACATTAATGGTTGTCCGCTTTCCCGGGGAAACTAAAGATTTGGGACGGAGAAGTGCGCTGTCTTAGCAGGTTGCCCGGTTGGACAAGTAATGTTTAGCTCACAGTAGTATTACTGTAACCTATCCAGGCCGGGAACGCATTCCCGCATTTCTACCTCTAGAGCCAGGAGCGGACACGTCTGTTTATCTTTTTATTGACCTATTCTCTTGATTGGTAAATTCTCTTGACCAATGAAATGCATCAGGATATACTGTACCAGATATGAGGACCAGACCACCATGCTTGCTTGTTGCAAGTGCATGTCTCCACCATGTCTTCTATCAGAGCACAAACAAAACTCAAAGAATTAAAGCTCGGGTATCTACATTTTCCCTTGCATTAACAATATATGTTTGTTTTGCACAAAATAGAAATGTTGTGAACAAATCAAACAGAACAAACCACTTGTTTTGATTTTTTTATTTGCATTCTGAAAAGCCTTGTGAGTCATTATTTGACGTTTTGGGTTGAGCGTGGATTTCCCCCCCCCACACAGTTAGTGCCACTTTATTGCCAAATTCTTGTTAACTCATTGTATTGAGAAATATTTGGGCAAGTAACTTTTGACATTGAGCAAGTAAAATATAAATGGTATTTGCCCGAAAGGCTGTGGCTGACAAAGCTTAATGTCAAGGCCTATTGTATATTTCAAGTTGGCTTACAAAATTCTCTTATTCTCTAAATGCCACCCCCTCGACCCAGAAATGTGCGAAGGGGATGAAGATGAATGAATGAATGAATGAATGTTTTCTTTATTTAAAATCCTTTTATAACTATGGAGCAGTAAAAAGTAAAACATTTTACAGCAAAAACATTGAAGACGCAGTGAGCACAATTATCACAAAAATCTATGAACATCTGTTTTATAAGTTTTAGAAATTTGAGCAATGGGTTCTTTTAACTGTTTAATATATTCGGGAAGAAACATGCTTTGTTCTCCCCTGTCAAACAACAACAAAACATCTCTTTGCAATTATTTGTCTTTGTCAACAGACCACCCCACATGCTACATTCAGAAAATATTGTTTTCACCTGAACAATGAAATGTTATATGGGTGAACAAGAGTGTGATAGGGTATTGCCAACATGCATTCAGCCATTTACCCTGAACCCATTTAAAGCAGTGCAGCATCTCACAGCTGGGGGAGAGCTTTGGGTTTACTCTTCTCATGCGCTAGGGTAGGCACGCAGCTGGTCTTAATAACCATTATTACCAACCAAATAACAAGTGTACCGCTGCAGACTTCCGTTCATTTCCATATGATGCTCAGCTGGAGGCCTCTCCCATGGAAGACTATTTTCATTGTTATCAATATTACACTTTGTCCTGTTTCTTTTTGCTTTGTCTCTTCTACAGCCTTTGCAGCAAATTGTCTGCAATTTAAACATAATGAGTTTCTAATATTGACGTAGCAATTTCATACAATTGTAGTTGAAGTAACAGCAACCATCTCTGAATGCTTAAAGTAGCACCATTTAATCACCCGATTCATCTGTTTGTTCCTTAAACGAAAGGTTTCTTTCTGTATGTTCCTTTCTAAAAAGGAAAAGTGTCTTGATCCCTGTGTAATATGAATGCTACAAACAGATTGCTTTAAATAAAACGTTTTGAACCCCTGTTACACCTGACTTCCGGTGATGTGCGGTGAGGTTCATGGTTGATGAGGCACTGACTTCATCACAATCCGATTGACAGCAATATCCACATGACCTACGAGCGGCTCATTCACCATTTGTTTGGCAACGGCGGAATATGTTTCATGTCTGCATTCTCTACTCATACTAAATACAGAAGCATGTAAACATTTAAGATGGTCTTGATTCAAACATATATTCTTCTGCCCCCCTTACCTCTCCCCATGCCCCCCTTTGTGCCTAAAGTGCAGGTGCCCTGATTGCACAAGGGTGAAGGGATTTTGCCCCCACCTGCGCCTCCCCTGAGCGCATGTCACTGCTAACTTCAGTATCCCCTCTTCACCAGCGCTCACTACCCAAGGATACGTACAATCCATGCAGACAAGAGTCGCTCTGCCTATTATTATTCAGAACCTTCACGTCTGGAGTCCTGAGATACAAAATATGTAATTTGAAATTACTGAAGCAAAAGAGGCTGCTGTGTGAACTTTAGCTGGTTTTCCTTTGAGTGAAGAATCCCAAGGTTCAAGTCATTTTCATGTGTTATATGTGAAATTGGACTACGTGAGAATTGTGCATTAGTCTCAGCCTCACTTTGTTAACAGCTGTGTGCTGTTTAAATGTCTGGTCATGTTAATAATAATTAGATGCAGTCTGTTGTGACATTATGGCAGGAAGTCTCCCAGCAAGCCAGTGACTGACAGAGATTCCCTCCAGCTTTGAAACTTAACAAGTGCAACAGCTAGGAAAGATTAGCTGTATAGCTGAAAGATATCTCATTGTTAAATTGTATATATGTATATATATACATATATATATACATATATACATATATATATATATATATATGCAATGTTTAGTTTTATTCGCCGATTGAACGAGTCTGTGAACCTGGTTGTTGTTGTTTTGGTGAATGCCAAGTTCAGTACAACACGCTATATTTCTCAGTTCTGGGAACACTGGTACAAGTGTCTTTGTAAATGAGTCCTTAGACTTTGCTATTTTATTTTTTATGTTTCTGTGTCTTGTGGTGTCCTTGTGTTGTCTCTTGTATGGACCCTGAGTCCGGAATAAAGATTATATAATATATATATATATATATATATATATAGTATATATAAAGATACTATGGTTAAATGTTGTTTAAATACGAATCTTATTCTTTGTTTGGTGATATGGTCGGATGATATTGTGTTGGTACATTTGGACTCTCACTCATCCTAATAGTCAACCATTATTGCTTATTTGTAGTGTTGAAATGTGTCATAGGGATCTTTGGATTCATTCATTCACAAAACGGTGTTGTTGTTTTTTCGGTGGCACAGTCAAAAGTTAAATCCCTCATGTCCCTTTGAACTTGTGTGACCCACTCAACACCACAATGACATTTCAGAAACTTTTCTCTTCCTCAAACTTTTTCAAACCTCCAGCTGCAAGAGGTGGCAGAATGAGGCTGGCAGAGGCAGACACACACACACACACACACATACACACACACATACACATACATTTGTAACTCAAAAACAAGTAGTCGTTACATGCCTATGCACTGTGGAAATGCAAACTTTCTGTTTGCATGTTCTTCCTGTGTCTGCGTAGGTTTCCTTCGGGTGCTTCCTTTTCACCCTGCCACTGGCAACCATGCTCCCATCTTTGTGTGGAGTGAGAGACAAATGCCCACAACAATTGTAAAGCGCTTTGTCTGTGAAAGGTGCTCTACAAATAGAGATTACACTTACATTGTTAGTGTAAGTGTTTAAAAATATTCATTCATTCAGTCAGTCTTTTTTTGACCTCTTTATTAATCCATTTCTGGGTTGGGGTGGGTGGCAATGAGAGCTGCCACCCAATTCTCATAGCAGCATGTGTTTAAAATATGTAATGATTAAAATGTGTTACAGTTCTATGATGTAAACAAGAGCAAGCAACATTATTTATGTAATACAAGTGTGTAGTATAAAAGTGATTTTACAGGCGGTGCCCTCCGGCTAGTGCTATGAACTCAAGTTGTGGAATGCCATGAGCCCTTGCACTTGCCCCATAATCAATGAGCCCTTCCAAACGGCCTCCCTCTGAGGTTGTTTAATAATTCAGACTGGAACGGAGTCTGTGTGGGCATTTACCATGAAAGACAGAGCAAAAGACCCCAGCGTGTTGGCAAGAGGTCACTACAAGCCTAAACTAAAGAGCATTTCTAGTTGTGTTGCTATTGGTTACAATCTATCAGCAATCCAACAGAGAGTGACAAGTTCTAGTTTTTGGATTGACCATATGGCAACACTACAACATTTCATTTCAAGTTTATCAGCAAAACAGAAGTATTGATTTGTCTGTACTGCTCTTGTCTGTTTTTGTTGATAATTATTTGCACAAAAGGCACCTGGAACACATCAAACAGAAAGTGTCTCTGTAAGTAGTGAATCATGTTCTTCCCTGAAAGTATTGTAAACCCAGAATTTGAAACCAAATTGGACATCTGCATTGTCTTCAACCAAAGTTATACTATTGTACTCATGTAAACTTCCCAGTTTCTTCCCAGTTATATTATTGTACAGTTATACTATTGTACTCATGTAAACTTCCCAGTTCTTCCCAGTTATATTGTGTAAGGGAAAACCTGCAAGTGAAATCTGTGGGACATAAATAGATTGTTTTGAATCAGAAACATATGTGTTGTTTTTGTAGGCGGAGGCTTTCATTGGGAAAGGGATAAAACCTCAATCGTAGTTTTAATTTATCTATCCTACACGTGGCAAAATGTGTTCAATTGTCTCTGAAAAACTTTGCATAACAATGTGATTGTGAACATTTACCTTTTGGTGCTCGGATGTTGTAGTTTTTGTTAAAATTGTGCATTCACTGTTCTTCTCATTGTTCCTGTTTGACCTTGAATCAGTCCAAATAACTGGTTCAGACCTCTTCTAGTCCTGGCTAAGGCCTGTGCTGAAGTCCTGGACTTTTTCAATTCAGATGGGGTGTATGTGTGAACGCAATAATTATCTCCGTCGGGAGGTTATGTGGGCTTTGTTTTTTCAAACTCAGTTATATGCGGATTTGGATGAAGGTATGATTTTTTTTTGTAATATTTGTCCCTCCGTCTCAGAGGAGGCCAAGTTCTTTCTCAAGAAAACAACTATATAATTATTTTTTTATAAATATTGAAAAAAGTCATGCCCAGAACTAGGGCTGGGCAATAAATCAAAGTTTGGCAATTAATCGGCTTTTGAAAAAAATCGAATTTGCGAAAAATGTGAAAATTGTCAAATCGAATGAAGCCTATTGTGAGAATTCCAGCAACACATAAAGTATACTTGCAATATCAGCACAGTCTGAGCTGAAAGATCAAAACATATTTTTAAGGGCAAAGTCTGTCTTCAATTACTTTAATAAAAATCGATTTAAAATCAGAATTGTCCAAAGCAGGAAATAAAATCGAGATTTTACTTTTTTGCTATATCGCCCAGCCCTACCCAGAACTTATGCCTAGACTATGCTTTCTATAAAGGTAGAAAAGGTTGGGAACCATGGGCTGAAGGAATTAAGCTAGTTTCATGTGTAGTACCCTTGATTAAGAACTCTAGGACCAGTATACTGTACTAGTTATTGCACAGTACTATTTAGTGTTCATAGCCACCTTATCTAAAGGCCCACCATAATCAAGCTAAGAATTCAGGAAAAGGGATATTTGTTGATATTTTTGTTAATCACGTAACTTTGCGGCATAACTAACCCTTAACGCGCCCATGTGTTCCATTGTTTTATGGACTAATATAAAGGCGCTGTGTTTGTGTTAAAAACTAGTTCTACTACAGTTATCTGGACAGACGCACACAACAGACAAGGTATTAGTTTCTACTTGCATGCAACAAGGAGGAGATGGCTTTATGGCGGCGAGGAGGCATCTGCGTCCTCTGCAGCCGTAAAGACTAGTCCTGCCTGTTTGCTCTGCAGGCAGCTTATTTATTTCAAAGCAGAAAAACCCACCCTCACAACGGAAAAGCCCAAAACTAGGTGAAGTTACACATTATCCACTTAACGTCTTGCAACATAAGTGTCACAAATAACCCCTGTGGACAATGTGGATAATTATTAGCTTGGTTTCAACACCTCTCTTGTAGATTTCCCCACTCGGTCAACCCAAAGTTGTCTAAACTGAATATACTTACATTCACTTTAATGATAACCCAACAACAATTCAAATCAGTTTGCATTTTCTTAAAACTAAAGTTAGTTTTCTATTAATAGTATTAGTATTATTTAAGTGGTGTTATTTCTGAAAGTTGTTTGAAAATGTGCAGTGCATTATTTTCGTTTCTCTAGTTTGTTGTGTAAATGTTGTCATGCTAATTTTATTATTTCTGCCATAGATTTTTTTATGTCTGTTTTAGTTGAATTTTTGCATTTGGGCATTTACAATCCTTTGTAAGGTGGTATATTTTAAGGTGGCCCTTTGAGTATTGCACAGTACTAGTGCATTGCACTTTTTTTTTTTTCATAAATGAAAGCGTCCCCTCTTGCAATGAAAGGTAACACTACATTTCAGATGGCTCATTTGTTCATTAGATGTGGTTCTATGAGCATGGCCCTGGGCTGACACTGGAGATGGAGAGCATTCCACTCTGGGTAATTACACTAGTCTGACAGGCCTCTGTGAGGAGAGCCCTTTGGAAAGATCTGCTGCCGCTTCCACTTTTTATGGCTTCAATTAAGTGGATTACACATTCAGACAGATACTGTATGGTCCACAGAGCTACCTGGCTTTGAGGTAGCAGAATAGGTGTATATTATTGCACATATGAATGAATGATGCTGCCAGACTGAAGACTAGTTGAATGTTTTATTCATGTGTTTGGGATCAGGATTAATTAATTGTGTGAAGGCTTTAGAAAGGTTTCTTATTTTGGCTGGAAATCAACATAAAAAACAATAGAGTAACTTGGATCCCCATGGTTTGTAATCATGGATCCAAGTTACATTCTATTTATAATATATACATATATATTTATGGATAAGAATTTGATTGAAAAGTTTCATACATTTACAGTCAATAACTAAACTAATTTGGTTTACTGTCAAGAAACAGAAAATATCTGTTATTAACCAGAAACCACATTAAAATAAAACACTTCCCATACTTTTTCACTAACTTGTTTTGTCTTGCTTGTATTTCACAATGGAGCCATCCATTTAAACTAAGCTTACTCTAAGCTTCATGATGGCTTGCATTGGGGACACAAATAAACTCAAAAAGAAACAGTAAATTGTTTTAGTTCTGAACTAATATTGACCACTGCAACAAGAGCAGATACGAATGCAATATGAGACAGAATGAATGTCTTGTCAACAGCACAGGGCAGTAATTGTGTTTGCTTGTCTGTGCGTTTCAGATTGAGATGTCTGGTGAAGCAGCTGGAGAGAGGGGAGGCCTCACTCATAGACCTCAAGAAGAACCTGGAGTATGCCGCCACAGTGCTGGAGTCTGTCTACATCGAAGAAACAAGGTACAAAAAACTGTTGTGGACTTTTATTAAACAAGGTTCACAAACCTCTCACACAAAGTCCTCATCCGATTAATTTGGACTTGTCCTAATAAGAGTTTGGTGTTGGTATTGGCCACCAATTCACATATTACTTTAGCCTGGATCAGATTTAGACCGTGTTTGCAGTTGTTGGCCTTCTTCACATTAACTGAGGGAAAAGGTTGCCAGATTCCTGTCAGACTTTGTCCATTTAAAGGAAACCAGACCAACAAATGTGAACTCACCCTTAGAGATTAGATTTGTTCGTATACGGATTTGCTGAGAGCAGCTGAAACACCGACTTTGAACGCTCTAAACCAAATAAAATAATATTCCTGACCAAATTAGTGTTACGTCTGTGACTTTATGGAATTTGAAACTATTCAAACTATACTTCAGGCACATAATTGTGTTTGCGAGAAAGTTTGTAATCTGATGCTTTAGACTATAGTATCATAGTGCAGTATGCAGTGTTATTGTAATTATTATTGCATTGCTGTTGCATTAATTTCAAATGTATATTACTAATTTAATGATAACAGTTTCCTCTTACCGTCCTGCCGTTCTTCGTTTTAAAAGTAATCGTGCCTTGAGACAAAATCAAGTGATGGCTCTTCAGACTCTGCAGATGTTGGAACTTTCCAATAATGACAAATATATCTTAAAGTACTGTACCGGATTTTAACTTTCTTAACAGTTATTAGTTTATAAGCTCATGGCAAAACTGCACTTGTTTTTTATATGAGTCTACAAAACCAAAAACCCATTATAAAAATCCGGTGCAGTTTCTTAAATAGTTTCCTTTCTTTCCTATTGAGGTTGAATTGTAATACGTATTCCTATTACTTTGGTTTTCTTCATGTAAACATACACATTAGCATAGCATTGTGTGGTGTTTGGTTGCATTCATGGTTCTCTCATAGACTACTTTTTACATTTGTCAATACCACATTTAAATTGGAGCCAAATATTGACTTGTGCCAACGGTAAGGGCAAAATGACAAAAATAACCAATAGCCAATCAGTCAGAATGTCATGAGCTCATTTGTTCCTGGCATCCAGAAGTAAAAAAAAAAACGGATATTGTATTGTTGCTAGGCTTTGAGAGGAGCACATGAATGCAATGTGATTAGATTTAGCTTTGTGTTTTGGAATAGCTCTTATTATATTTGTGTATATCAAAAATGTGTGTGGTGTGTGTCCTAAAACAACCAGAATGTAGAATTTTTTTATGTCTAATATGGAAGAAGCTGATTAAAGCTCAAACAGACTGTATTTGGGCAAGAATATGGAGTCGAATGATACAAGTAGCAACGGCCTAGCAACCAAAGAGCCAAACAGGAGCGGTGCTAATAAGTTCCTGCGAACTCAAGAACAATTGGAAACAGAAGGCATCTGACTATTTAGTTGTTAGGGATCAAATTGGATTTACAAAGGCATGATCAAAATAAATATGCCAGGATTAAACAGAGTGCTAATCCACAGATTTGTCTGTCCAAAATGGTGAGTGTGACACAAACAGTTACTTTGCGAGTGGAATTTACTTTTCAATGTGGACCCCCCACGAAAACGAGATGATACATCTCATGGGGTTTATCCTCCAATAAAATGTCCATAAATAAATAAATAAAATGTAAATCAGGAGCTAGAACGAGTTGGAGAAAGACTTGCCAATTAGCACTACCCTAGGCTGGTCTTACCACACCATTGTACTCATTTAATTTCGTACTAAGGTCTGGATTTTCTCAATTGTCATCCTTCTGTATGTTTTTACTAACTTTACTAACCTGCAGATGGAAATTAGCCTAAAGCTATAATCTGGCATATTTACATTTGTGTATGTATTGTTCCTCCTTTCTCAAATAAATAAATAAATAAATTTAGCTCTGTTAACAGGTGGGAAACGATTGGATCTGAGTCACGGATTTACCTTGACGTATGTAATGCGCCCGAGTGAGTGAGTCATTAAGCATTTAGCCTAGCTTTAGCCATCTCCTTTGCCGCTAACGGAGCCCGTGGGTAGTACAGCCACAACATCCATCCATCCATCTATTTTCTTCCGCTTCATCTGTTGCCGGGTTGCGGGGGCAGCAGTCTAAGCAGAGACGCCCAGACTTCCCTATCCACACACACTTCCTCCAGTTCGTCCGGGGGGACCCCAAGGCGTTCCCAGGCCAGCTGAGAGACATAGTCCCTCCAACGTGTCCTGGGTCTTCCCCGGGGCCTCCTCCCGGTGGGACGTGCCCGGAACACTTCCCCAGGGAGGCGTCCAGGAGGCATCCGGAACAGATGCTCAAGCCACCTCAACTGTTTCCTCTCGACCTCACCCTATCTCTAAGGGAGTGCCCAGCCACTCTGCAGAGGAATTTTGACCGCTTGTATTCGCAATTTTGTCCTTTCAGTGATTACCCAAAGCTTATGACCAGAGGTGAGGGATGAAGCGAAGATTGACCGGGAAATTGAGAGCTTTGCCTTTTGGCTCAGCTCCGATGTAACGGTCCGATACAGCAACTGCATTACTGCGCACACTGCACCGAGCCGTCGATCTCACGCTCCATCCCTCCCTCACTCCACCCACTTTGAGAGGGCAAGGCCACAACGTCTTCTCCAGCAATAACATTTGCTAAACATTCCTCTTGCTCCGGCTTCAATTTCTTGATATTTGGAGTCAAACCAGAGGATTGGATTACTTTACTATTGCATTCACTGCCATTGCCAAACTACAACCAGCAAATTTGGCGCAAACTGACGCCACTGACACCTTACTACAACACCCGCCTCCCCTGCTCGCTGAATGGTTGGATGGGATACAACCGAAGTAACCGCAATCACTGAGACCAGACCCAGACGTACATGTGGGAAATTATATTTGACTGGAGTTTACAGAAGGCTATGGCCAGGGTAGCACTACCCAAGCCCCAGCGATCCAAGATGGCGCCCTATTCAAATGAATGGCTTGTGCTCAGTAGCGCATGGGACTTCACAGGGACCGAAAGATAAGCGGAACTCGTCTATATTTGGATTCCCAGTTCTGCGCAGTGGACGAGCTCCCATGATACGCGTGTGTGGCTCTCATACACGTGTACAGAGGGGCTCGACCACTCTTTGACCAATCAGCGCTGCTGATCAGAGCAATGGTAGAGCGGAGCCAGAGCGGGAAGGAAACAAGCAGAGTTTGTGGCAGTAAAGTGTGGATTTAATGAAAACCGAGGGATTTAAGACGAAAATAAGGAACATATATAAGGAATATTCAGGATGACAAGGGACATTAAAATCCACAAAATCCAATCTTTATGAAAGTTGTAGGTTCTCTATCAGCTGAGGTTGAGCTGGTTTAGTTTACATTGAGTTCTATGGGACTTTTTTCTGGGTAGCCCACGTGACTGTAGTCTGCAGTATCACGGGCGCCCCCTGTGCCCATGGGTGGGACAGCTATAAGCTAGTAATACCCTATCCAGTTATTATTATAGATCCATGGCATTACCCTATTGGGCTTCAATGAGCTAGACGATTAGCATTGTCTGTCTATATTAGGGATGTCAATCGGTGACCGTTTAACCGGTGGTTGACCGTCACAGCGTTAACCGGTCAAAGCTGTCGGTTAAAAAAAAGAAAAAGGGGAGAGGGGACGTCTCTTAATAACGCTATTTTAAGCCCTATTTGCACGGTGTGACGAGCGGGTCCATCCCTAGCTGTATGCGCCCATGTATTAGGGGCGACATATGTGCGTGCCACATATGCACGCACACATGCACACGCGCACACACACACACACAGACACACACACACTTTCCCCCTCTCCATAGGTAACATCCAGACGCATCATCTCTCCCCTCTGTTACCGCCAAAGTTGCTGCTGCTAAAAAGTTGAAGTTTTAACCCGCAGCACAGAAGAATGGGAAGATTAAAACAGCCGTTCTCTGTTCGCAAAGATGCCGAAGCTGTTGCGGGTTTTGGCGCCGCTGTCTCAGCTTTGATCCAGTAAAACGCATAGCTGCTGAAAAGTATGCGGCTCGAAATGGCTGCTATTTCAAAGAACGTGGAATATTTTAAACTACGCGGTTAGCCGGTTTCAACCAGTTAAAGAGGCTCGGTGGTCGGTCATGAAAATTCATAGTCTAAATAAAGTTTCTGAATAATAACTTTGTAGAAATATTAGAATTAGCTCTTTATAAAGTTTTTTTTAACTTTTCTCAATTAATTGGCTTTTTAGTACCGGAATTGCAAAGTAGCAAGAATTTTAAAACTCCACATACTTGTCTGTTCAAGGCTAAAATGTCTCTATCTGAATAACTTAAAGCCCAGCCTTAATCAAGAATCATATATCAGTGCTAGCACGGCCTTTCACTCTCAGTGAGTGAATTCTGGAGGTTCTGACATATAGTATTATGCCTTTCCTATATACACAGATTACAGCATTGGCGGCTCAGTTTTTTAGTGTGGTTCCTTTTTAAAGCACTAAGAGATCAGGCAACTCTCTTATCTGCATCAGGACAAACATATACAGCATATTTTAATGACTGCAGTCCCAATGCAAAGCCAAAATCTAAGCTACAGCCACGAGGCTTATGACATTATATAATACATCATCTAGATTCAGTGCGATTAGAGGCTGACTGGACAGTACATGTCATATTGTTGAGATTATGACAGAGATGGGAGCACTTTGACTGGACCATACGAACGTGTTGACAGGCTTTCCCCCTGATCCCTCGGACATGTCAACAGCACAGAGAAGCCAAGCACACAATTGGATTTGAATAGGACACAGCCATTACATAACAGGTGATATCATTTGATGGACAGAGCTGTTTTTTCATTTAACCCCGAGCGGATCTGTGAACAATGGTGCATATTTTATCACTAGCTGAAGCTGCTGCCGTCTCTTTTGTCTCTCCGATGTAATATTTGGTACTTTGTATCATAAACAATGGCCATCATACTACATTTTCTAGATTCATTCATTCGAAACTTAACAGCAGTGGAAAAAATATATATGGTTTCTGCTATGCTTATGTCAGAGAAAGTAAAAAGTAACTGTATAATGGTTCATGCCACAGCTTTTTAAAACAATATGTTGTGTTGTAACAATAATATTGGGCCTCATTCACCAATATATTCTAAAGATTTTTCTTACATTTATTCTTAAGTCGTTCTTAAGAAGATTTCTAAAAAGACCCTATGTGGGATTCGTCAACGCGTTCTCAGGCCGCTGAATTGTTTGCAGCCTGTTGTCGCGAGTTTGTATATGTGTCCATCAAAGGCGCAGCAACAGAAGACTTTAGAAACTGTTGTTCTATGGAGTCTAATGAATAATTTTTGATTTGTTGTGTTTTTCCTGTGGTTGTAGGCGTTTGGTGGACACAGAGGATGAGCTCAGTGACATCCAGTCGGAGTCGGTCCCCTCGGAGGTGCGGGACTGGCTGGCTTCCACCTTCACTCGTCAGATGGGGCTGATGTTGAGAAGAAACGAGGAGAAACCACGATTCAGAAGCATTGTCCATGCTGTGCAGGCCGGCATCTTTGTGGAAAGGTACAGTATACACTGATACAATTAATAGCAGCAGGCGGGTCTATGGCCACTACATTTCTCTGTCCAGATATTCTAGATTAGATAGTTGGAATCAATGAGGCCTACAGACTTTTCAGTCATAGACATGACATAGCATGAAAATTCTGAAAACATTATTTTAGAAATTAGAAGGGGCGGCACAGTGGCGCAGTGGTTAGTTTTATAGCATGTTCTCCCTGTGTTCTCACTATCACTAATAACATGTGCAAAAGACATCCATGAAGAAATGAGAAATAGCACAACTCCATTCTTAGGAGAGCATTGCCCAGATCTCCCCAAAGAAGGAAATACAACATATTTAAGATGAACACCTATGGGAGGAGAAGAAGGGAAGAGACCCAAAGGGATTAAGGAGAGTTGAAGAAGCACATTAAAGAGAGTCCCACCACAAGTGGTGAAGGTGACTTTACCCAAATACCAGCAGGGGGCGAATGGTCTGAAGGATACTGTCACAAAAGACCACCCTTTAGAAGAATCGATCTACTCTCTCTCATAAACAAAAATCATTCTTGTCCTAAATACGATAGGACTGTAAAACACTGTCTTAAGTCTCAGACAAACTCTTCAAAGAACTATTTGTTTAACATGAATACTGTTTAAAATATTTGTTATCATAACAATTTTTCATCTGAATGCGAGCCACAGAGTTTTTGGCTTTTGATCTACTATAGTGGCACATTAGACATATTGTTAAAACAATGCAATAACAAGTACCAGCTAAGGAATGCTCGGTATACCCTGTAGCTACAAATGAAAAATATGAATATTTGAATGGTCCATCATTATCTCTGAGATGAATTGTTTTAATAAAACCCCATCAGAATCTGCTCTATCAGACATAAACTTGCTTCTTTCAGCATAAGCCTCAGACATGTAAGCTATAATCTGTCTTAATCGGTTTTGACACATGGTTATATTCTGACATTCACAATGAAAGATTAGGACACTGGGGGGGGGGGGGGAACACCTCCATAGTGCTCTCTCATGAAAGACTTAAAGGTTTTATAGTTTCTTTATTCTTATTGTTTTAATACTACCACTACCACTGTGATCCACTCCAAAAGGTATTGTTTTTCTTGCAATGCCACATCCTCTGTCTCTGATCTGTTACTATTCGACAGCCGGAGAAACTGTGAGCACTTATTAATGAATGAAGGACCTTCCCCAGCCGGGTCAAGCCCCACAGTTCATATCGCTCTAAACCGACAGCAAGAAAATTTTTCACATGTTCAAAGTAAAACGGACTGTACAGGCTGTACATTGATCTGATTACCGATGTTTGGTGATTTTCTGCACTGTTGCTTTTTTAACAGGGTATACAGAAATATCAAGAGCATAGGCTTATATACATACATTCATGATAGTACAGCAATGTCAGATTACTCACATACATCTTTTCCAGGATTCTTTCTCCTTTGTGTCGTCTTAGGTGATGTTTAAAAGCCACTTCCCATTGTTTTTATTTGGTTAACTATCTGTGGCAAAATATCTACACCTCCCAGCAGCAAGAATTGTCCTAAAAATATCACTTGTATTAAAATCATTTAAGGGCATACTAAAAAAAAAGGGAAAGCAATGATTATGTACTTTACCCAGGTCCAAACATCCCCTAATGTACTGGGGATGTCTGACACCCTCACTCATAGTAGTTTTGGCTTTTATACACTGCAGAGGGAGAACAATTTACATATTAAATGATATTATGATGATTCAAGCCAAACTTTGTGGAATGCTGTTCCAGTTCATTAGATATATTGCATTGTCACTTCTTTTTCAGAATCTGAATTTTTGTGGCGTACCATTGAAAATAACAGGCAGTCACACTATAGGAAGTAGTTGCTTTGGTATAAGGTGCAAACAAGTAATAAAAAGTCCAAATTAGCTATAAAGGAATGCATTAAAAATCTGTAAGTGATCAGAGGAATGAGATTATGAAGTGACAGAAGTACAAAGTGTTCAACTGCAGAGGATTATCATCATAAGATTGGGAAGAAACTGTTCTCATGACGGGACAGTTTCTTCCCAATCTTATGATGATAATTGAGATTGAGAAAGCTTTAGAAAAGGCTTATGTCCGTTCCCCATCTCTATGGTGATATTTTCTTCCAGATTTAGTGATACAGGTCTTTACTGTTGCAGCTCATGACCTTTTTGTCTTTGATGTTTTATCTTTTTTGTGCAGAATGTACCGACGCACATCCAACATGGTGGGACTCAGCTATCCTCCCAGTGTGATCTCAGTGCTAAAGGTACAGCCACACACCCATGCGCAACCTCATACATATACGCATGCATGCACACACTCACAAACACGCACACACATGTGCACACACACACATGCATGCGCGCACAAACATACACTCTCACATACGCACACACACAGACACACACGTGCACACACACACATGACATTTATAGTCTGTTGAGGTTAAGCTGCTGTAGATAAGACAAAAATGTCGGAGCCGGCTGTATCAATATCAGTTGGACTAACAAACAAATGTCACTTTCAGTTTGCCTTTCCTCTGAAGAATGTTGTATTTATTTCTAATTGTGGAACAGTTTTGGACAGATGATAAAACTCACTTGCTACATGCTACAAACTTTCTACATTTCACTTATGAATATTATATTATATTTTTTTTAGGTGGTGACAAATTAAACTAATTTATTCAAAAAGTGCTATCAACAATGTAACTGCATGAGATTCTGCTTCATGAGGACAAGCAAGTGACATCATTTTATTATAGTCACACATCATATTGTGCCACCCGCCACAAGAACAGTTTCTTCCCCTCTGCTGTTGGACTCTTGAACACTTCTTAACCTGTCCCCCCGCCCTTTATAAAGTCACTTTACTGCCCATCACGCGTCACTTTACTTCACTGTACTGCTGTCACCTTACATTGTGTGCAAGATGTGCACTTGTATATTGTAAATAGTAACTGTAACTCTATTTTAAATTTAAATTTATTCTTTAGAAGTGTTTTTTATTCTTATTTTTATTATCTCTTTCTGACTGTTGCACTGAGCCAAAGCAATTTCCAAGTCTGTGACCTCTTGTTACTTACGTGGCAATAAAAATTATTCTGATTCTGATTCTGATTCTGATATTTGCAGTGAGGCAGGCCACTGAGAACATAAGTAAACCTTTTTCGTCCCACAGTGGCATACAGGACAGTAATAAGAGCACACAAGGAGCACACCAAATAGACAAGGGAAATGTAGCTGTGAATGCTTCTTAACTTACCGTTCATTCTTCATAATAGCAGTAAGTACAGCATCTGGTGCGGCCTGCTGGTTTTACTTCCAACCAAGCAGGAGCACATCAGACTCCACTTGTTTCCTCAAGTGAGTCCAGTCACCAGAGGAAATGGGTGGAGTCTGGTGTGCTACTGCTTGGTTGGAATTAAAACCTGCAGCCCCACCGGCCCATTTCAGGACGACACCCCTGCATTAGAGCGTTTGAACTGGCATCAAAGTCTGTGTTTTTGATCCTATTTCTTGTTATGGTTGTCATATTCTTTTCTATATTCTCCCCACAGCATGTCGACAAGTGGTCATTTGACGTATTTGCCCTAAACGATTCCAGCGGGGAGCACGGACTCAAATTTATATTCTATGAACTGCTCACAAGATACGATCTCATCAGTCGCTTCAAGGTGAGGATGAGGAACCGCTGCGCAGGTCTGCTGTAATTTAAAGTTTCATGACATTTAGCTGGAGGGCTTTTATTCTACCTGAGGACATTTCAATAACCTTAAAAGTCAAGTAAAATTCTCCAACTGCTCATGGTTTGTTACTTTGCTACAATATAGAATGTGCAAATGCCTTATTGATCGTTTGACAAGACTTTATTTTTGATTTTTTTTTTTTCTCTTCCTACAGATCCCCATCTCTGCAGTCGTGTCGTTTGTCGAGGCGTTGGAGGTGGGCTACACTAAACACAAAAACCCCTACCACAACTTAATGCATGCAGCTGACGTGACGCAAACCGTGCATTATCTGCTGCTCAAGACTGGCATGGTGGTAAGTGCGCCATCTAATTAAACCAATACAAGCCTGTGCCTTTGGAGCCAAGTTCCATTGTATTGGCGTCCGTGTTGACGGAGCCATTCCATTGAAGGAAAGGTCTCATCAATGGTCTGCAATGCAACAATGTTGTAGCTAAGGGGCTGTTCATTGATAAGTCAAATCCCTGCTCTTCCGGGTTCAGTTTAAAGTTTATTGTTAAAGCTGTAGTGCCTTTGAATCCTCATAAGATAAAGACAGAATGTTTTGATTTGTTCACAAAATGTTACTCAAACAATAGCCTGTTGGGACAAAATGTATATCTGAAACAAAAATATACTCCAGCTTTAAACAGTGTAACATCATTCTCTACATCCTTCAGCGTATCAACTCCGTCAAGCAAAGACGTGTCCTCAGACCGCTCCTGCTTTTGACTGCCTGCTATCTCTTGTTTTTGTCTTTTTCCTGGAGTTTTGCCACAGACAATTTTAACAAGAATTATTGATATGATTAACTGGTCCCTCAACGCAATTGACTCTATTTTTTCAACACGTAAGCGAGGGTCTGGGGAGCCCGTGTGCCCAGACGGGACTGCACCTGCGGGGTATACTCTTGACAGCTGGAACTCGTGGAGACCCCTTTGTCTGTCAGTCCTGTCTATTGAAGATTCGGAAGACGTATATATCTTTGGCATTTTGGTGGTGGGGATCCTCCTTTTTGGGTTTGAAGCGGTCCTTTTCTACCGCAAATTCGGAGGCATGGATTCACGAGCTGCTGGCCAACAAAATTGATGGGATGTACAAGGAGTTAAGCTGCGTCGTGGTTGAGCGTGCAGTGTCTGGACACAGAAGAGTTGTGTTAGTGGAACAGTTGATACCTTGCAACTCGTTCACTCGAAGGGCATAAAACACTAGAGATGAGACTGAATGACATTGTGTGCTGTTATAGAATTATATACCCCATGAAGGAGGAAACTCAAAGGTCCTTTGTCTGGTCAAAAGCGTAAGTTTATTGTTAACGCACAGTGCGGAGAGTCAGCATATGCACACAAAGGCAGCATGCTCAGCTCTGGGGGCCAGAGCCCCCAGCTTCCTGTATGCAAGACACACACCAAAGATAGTCACGCCCACAACGGAGCGGAGGGGGGCCACCGGTGAGGAGGCGCACAGGAAGCGCCGGCGCCATCCCCTGTGGTGGCAGTGGCATGGGGTGTGAACAGACAGACAATGGTGGAAATGCAGGTCATACAGATGCAAGACGGAAAGACACAAGGGTGTGACAGACAGCAGGGACCTTCACAAAGCTCAGCATGGCGTCAGAAGGTCGTCTGCATTGATAAAAGGCCTTTGACGTCCGTGTATTTGCTGCGGCTGGTTTTATGTAATTACTCCAAAAACTGTCACCACACTCCCCTCTTTTGATAATTCAAAACCATTTTTGCATTAATCAGTTAAATACCAGAGGCATCGTAATCACACCACCTTCAAGTTGAAACACTTAAATTATTGCTGTCCAAAGTGGACAAGAAAAGACACATGCTTGTCAATAAAAGAAAGAGCACATTATAATAACACAATGGATCCGGACAGCGATAAGAGAAGGCAATATTAACATAATAAACACGGTCAGCACGGAAAGTAGTGTCAGTGTGGCCAGCATAACAGTCCAAGGGCCCATGCCGGTCTACGTTCGGTAGTCTTTTCCGCGGGAATACTCACGAGCAGTGCCGTCTCGCAGTCAGTGGCACCGCTCCCTATGAGCGTGTGTGGAGCGTTAGTGGTCATGGCGATGTTTGGTCTTGGAGCGGCAAGACTCTATTTGCGTTGAAGCCTTGGCCTCAGCACTCGGTTGGGCAGAGTGCTCGGGGTTTGGGGTGTGGCGACCATGGCTTGAGCACGCTCCAGATCGGCCAGGCCCAAAGCTCGTTTGATGGGAGACCTCATGACAGCACGCTTCACCATGTGCCTCATCAGGAACTGTAGAGCAGCCCTCATCTCCACCTCCTCCGGACACACGGGAGACGAGACACCAGGGGGGCACTCCAGCAGAGCTCAAATCTGCATTATGGCCAGAGGGAACAAGCTCTGGAGAAATCTTTGGAATGGGCAGCAGCTCTGCATACTTGCTGCAGCTGAGCAGAGCGCTCAGGGCCTTCATGGCTCCCAAGCCTTGGGATCCGGGGGCTGGGGAGTTGGGCAAAAGGGGGGTCGCCTCGGGAACGCTGGGATTCTCTGGGTGTTGTTGTTGGCCTGCTTCACCGACGGTGGCCGCACGCCAGCCGACTTCTTCATCGTAGGGAGCCGCGGATGGGCCTGGTCCGTCCGCGCCCTCGGTGTCCTCGTCTATGGCCCTCAGTGGCAGCACCGCACGACAGTGGTTGGCGTGGATCCAAGTTGTCCTCTCCGCGACCTTAACGGCAGTGTCCGTCACCAGGAGGGCGAGGAATGGGCCGAGCCAGCGCTTGGACCGCCAATGCTTTCGTCTCGTTTCCTTCATCAGGACCCAGTCGCCTGCGCAGCCTGTGGCAGGGCGCTCCTGACCTGGGCAGAAATAGAGGACAAAAGTGCATTAATTTCCTTACAATAGGACAGCATGTCGTCATCACACAAAGAGGTGCTTGGCAGATCTCTGTTCGGGGGTCCCGCGCCCAACGTGGGGCTAGCTGCAGTGTTTACGTATATCAATGCCCAGAAATTCACCCACTTCCTCAATGACTTTTGCTACAAAGTGACTGCCAGTGTCACTAGAGATTTTTTCTCGGGGCACAATTTTTGTGAGCAGAGCTTTCACCACCGCGTTGCTTGTGGCGTGTATGCCTGCAAATACTTCAGTCCATTTGGACCAGAGATCCGCCAGAACCAGACAGTATTACTTACCTTGGCATGGTGTGAGTTCAACAAAGTCCCTTTGGACATGTTGAAATGGGCGCAGGGGCGGAGGATGAGCAGCCTGTTGGATACTTTTGGGACTTACCTGGGTTGTGCGCGAGGCATATAGCGCATGTTTGGCTGAATCTCTGTGCCAATGCCGTAAACCCCTTTGTATACCAATTCTGTGTGATTAAATCACACATCATCCCTCCTTTTGAGGCATGGTCCCGACCATGTGCTAAAATTGCACTGAGGAAATGCCGTGGTAGGCACGGTTTGCTGTCTGGTCCCAGCCACACACACCATGCCGTCGTTGAGCCCCATTTCCCTCCCACAGCAGCGTCTCTGCTGGAGTAGAAAATATCAACGTCTTGAGTGAGGTAGTGTGTGTGTGTGTGTGTAGAGGTGCGTATGCCGCTGCCTTGTCCGCGCGCCGATTCCCTGCAGAGATGGGATCAGTGGCATTAGTGTGGGCCTGGCATTTGCATACAGCGATCTCTAAGGGCAACATTACAGCTTTCAGCAGACGTTCAACCTGTGTGGAATTAAGAATTGGTTTACCATCAGATTTCATAAAATTGCGGTGTTTCCACAGTGCTTCCCAGTCGTGCACCACAGAGAAACCATAGCGCGTATCACATAATATGTTAACAGTTTTGCCCGCTGCCAGCTCACAAGCCCCGGTGGGCGCGACCAGCTCAGCGGTTTGTGCTGAGTGGTAGTGGGGCAAACTACCAGAGTCTATAGTATCAAAATCAGAACACACAGCATAGCCGACTCGGTTCTTCCCAGTGTTGTCACGTGACGCCGCTCCGTCTGTATAAAAAAATCAAGTCAGGATTAGTCAGAGGCACCTCTTTCAGGTCTGGCCTGGGAATGCATCTCTGCTCTATTGTGGCGATACAGCAGCGTGCCTCCCCTTTGTACCCCAGCCAACGAGCCGCAGAAAGGTGAGAGGCCCTCTGCTCTAACAGGATCAGGGAAACAGCATGGGGCACAAGCAAAGTTAGTTCAGTGTATCCCACAAGGTCACGTGATGCTAGGGCCGCTTTCTCAGCGGCAGCCACAGCCCGCAGGCAGCGAGGCAACCCTGCTGCCACGGGATCGAGTTTTGCTGAGAAGTAAGCAGTGGGTCTCAGTGGCCCTCCGTGAGACTGCAAAAGTACCGACTGTTCCGTTCATCTCCAGTTGCTTTCTCCCGGATCGTCCTCAATTCATATTGTGGGCTTTGGTGCCAAGGTAGAGGCTCATTTCCTCATGATCCATACTACTGTCATCCCTGAAGCGGGGGTAGTTTATCTCTCATCTGAAAAAGAAATATTAGAACACAAAAAACACAAAAAAATGCCCACTTTCGCTTGTCAATCTTTTTCCAATTGGGCAAAACATAACTGCATTGACAGACGGTGTTTGGCATCAGGGTGGAGGCTGTAGCAAAATACAGACTTAACAAAATGTATGTTTCTAATTTTATACTTCCCTAAATGTGAGTTTACAAACCAAGTTGTCCTTCAACCAACGACAGCTCACTGCGGTTGGACTGTGTCGCTGTCAGGACAAACAGCAGAGGCAGGAACTCCCAATATCTTCAGCGAGGTATTTCATCTCCGAGTACTTTCAGCAGAGTACTTTTCTCAGAGTACTCATCCCAGAGTACTCTCACTTTTACACCTGTTCAATAAAGCTTGTTATCTTTGAATCTCTAGTACTTACACCGTATGCTGTTGACAAAAAATAATTATTCCATGATCACATTAAAACATTACAGACACATTTGTTATTCCATGATTCCGTTCAGCATTCCTCATTTCACACATCACACTCACATCACAGTCACATCACAGGCCGATTTCCCACGTTAGTATTTTGGTCCAGTTTGTTAAGGTCAGCGTAGTGTACTTTGACATGACACACAAACATATAACATGCACAAAACATATAACACACACAAACATATAACAACACAGAAGGCCTGTACTTTTAACTTTGTTATATTTTTCCATGTCCAATTCCAATTGTCTCATGAGCTATTTCTTATTGTTGCAACTTTCAGAGCCTGTAGAGCTTTAAAAGAGTTTTCCTAAAAGGATCCATTTCCAACTTTAGTGTTTACCACGTGGTCTATACTTCGGGCTTATCACAGATTGT